TTGCATAAGCAATACATCCAAAAACTCTAAGATGGGCTACACTATGCTTGAATGAACACCAAGCTTCCTCCGGGGTCTTGAAACAAACATTTTTGGTTAGACATCGATTCAACAAGTACACTGCACATGCTACAGCTTCGGCCCAAAATTCTCTAGGCAATTTCTTTCCTTTCAACATGCTTCTAGCCACATCAAGAATAGTCCTATTTTTTCTTTTCGCAGCTCCATTCAATTAAGGTGTGTAGCTTGGCATGAATTGATACACAATTTCATGCTCCTTGCAATAGTCTTTGAATAAATCAAAAGTATACTCACCACCTTGATCGAATCTCAACCTCTTGATAAAATAGTCACTTTGCTTCTCAATAAGATTCTTGAATTCCTTAAAAACTTCAAACACTTCAGACTTCTTTCTTAGAAAATACACCCAAATCTTCCAGCTATAGTCGTCAATAAAAGTAAGAAAGTAGCAATTCTTACCATTTGACATAGGCTTCAAAGGACCACAAAACATCGGTGTGCACAAGCTCCAAGGGTCGTGATGCTTTCCACTTGACTTCTCTTGAGAAGCTTAATCTGTAATGCTTGCCAAGAATACACCCTTCACATAACTCATTCGGATAATCTATGTAGAGTAAACTCTTCACCATTTTCTTGCTAGATAAAAGCTTCAAGCCACCAAAATTAAGATGTTCAAGTCTCAATTGCCACAACCAATAATTATCTTTAATAATAGCATTCAAGCATCTCATAGCATCATGTTGAATATTCAAAGAAAACATTCTATTCTTTGACATTTTCACATTAGCAATCAAATTACCATGAACATCTTTAATTGTAAGATAAAGATTCTTCATGCTAATATCATAACCCATTTCTAAAAGTTGCCCCATACTCAAAATACTATTCTTCATATCTGACACATAATAGACATTGAAAATAAAATCATGATTGTCATTATTTAGCTTAATAAGAATTTTATCTTTGCCTTTCACCGGAATGTTGGAGGAGTCGCCAAAAATAACTTTGTTTTGCTTCACTTCATCAAGTTCTACAAACATATGCTTCTTGCCACACATATGGTTGCTCGCCCCGGAATCAAGAAACCACACATTGCCATTATCTTCCCTCAAATCCATCATAAGCCAACAGTAAAGTAGATACCGCTTCATTATTTGATTTCTCGGCATAATTCACACGTTCTTCAACGCCTTTATTTACACTTGCCCAGCACTTATTGTTATAATGCTCAAACTTGTGACAATTGACGCATTTAACATTTCTCTTGTCAAAACCTTGATTGTTATAATTTTCTCTTGCTCTTCTTCGTCTTCTTCCTCTTGAACCATAAGAATTTTGATTTCTTACATCATTAGTGAATTAACCTCTTCCTCCTCTACCTCTATTTGCATAGACGCTTCCACGACCTTCGTAGCCTCGTCCTCGATTGCCATAACCTTTACCTCGTGTTCCATTACCTCTTCCTTTTTGAGATGTACTACCTTGAAATTCTCTTCTTTCATCTTTCAAAGAAAGCTAGGGTTGGAGAGCTTGTTCAAGAGAACTTGAAATCTTTTTATTAATACGTTGCTCATGTATTTTCAATGTCGCCATCAATTCACCAACGCTCATAGACTTGAAATCCATGGATTGCTCAACGGCCACAACAATATGCTCAAATTTTGGGGTTAAGGTTCGTAGTATTTTTTTCATAACACGAACATCATCAATATCTTCTCCATACTTTCGCATTTGATTCATAATCACCAAAGTTCTTGAAAAATACTCTGAAATTGACTCGGCTCCATTCATATTTAACCCTTCAAATTCATTTCGCAATATTTGAAGACGAACCCGAATTGTTTTATCAATGTTTCTATGCATACTCTTCAAAATTTTTCAAGCTTGCTTCGAGCTGGTGGCGGAAGAAATCGTCTCAAAAGTATTATCGTCAATACATTGGTAAAGTAGAAATAAAGCCTTCTTATCTGTCTTCCTTGATTGCTTAAGCACCATCTTTAGAGCATCATTAAGTGCTTGCTCTTCCTCCGTAGTCGGCTCGATGTAACATTTTTCAACAATTTTGCAAAAATCTTGTGATTGTAACAACACCATGATTTGAATAGTCCAATTTTCATAATTATCTTTCCCAATTTGAAAAATTGGAGTTGAAGCACATTACTCATAGTAGTCATAACAATCTACTCTGATACCAATTTTTTAGGGTATTGAAAGCAAAATAGATCACCAAAAGAAACACAAAATCAAGTAAAACAGATGACAAAAAATCTGCTATACATCCACACCAATTTCATTCAAGAAACACCTTTATATTTCATCAAGAATGATCACAACATCAAGGAATACAAAGGGAATAACTTATCTGAATTTTTCAGTAAAAACATCCAAGAAATACAAAAGAATAAAGCTTCTGCTCATGAACAACCTGTTGCATTTTTTCTGGCTGCAAAACAAATTTTTTTACTCTCTTTCTCTCTGTTTTTTTTTTCTGCAAATACACTCCACTGTTTTGGCAACAGTCCAGCCCCTTTTATATGCCTCTATTCCAGCCAAAAGTCCTTGAATCTTTCCATTCAATAGCTAGCAGCCTCCAACCATTAAACTAGATTTTGTCTCTTTAGTTTTTCCATGCAGTAATACATGAACACTCCTCCAAAGACATGAACAGACCTCTCAAAAAAATTTTGGACACTTCTAGTGATTATCTCTTCATATACCATCAAACACCTTAATTTTTTCAATATTACATCAAAAACCCAAAATATAAAAAACTACACTTTAAGAATTGAGTTTATAAATACTAACAATTGTTAGTATGCTAATAACTCTTTAGGGTTGATCCAATGAGTACGCCTTGTGCCATTGTTTTGGGGACAGGCAAGCCTGACTCGCCCGATGCCCTACCTTGAGGAAATGATTTGCAAAGCTTTCCTTAGCCAACTCGAAATTAAACATCTCACGAATAATTGCTAAACCAATTATTCTGGCTTATACTAAGCACCTATTTGACTTTTCAATTAATTTTTTTTTTTGCTTTTGTGGATTTTGTGGATGTATGCAGGAATGGTGAGTGTTTTATCAAAAGTACCTCTGAAAGCACATTCAACAAGGATACAATATGCATGAGAGAGAGAGAGAGAGAGAGAGCTTGTTTGTTTTGACGGAACATGGCTAACCCTATGAAACTGATCTGGCTTGGCTTATAATCAATAAATACATGTCGGGTAGTTGAGTAGTAGTGGCATAGACATAAAACCTTGATGTACCCGTTTGTAGGGATTGTCATGTACATATCTATGTCATAGGTAATTAAACATGCAGCTTTATATTGTCCATTTCAAACTCTACCTCATAGTACGTCAATTGTGGTCCTCATACAGCTTTATAATATCCGATTTAAAGCATATTTATGTATTCTTTCAATAGTTTTCATCAAATTTGAGTTGTTTCCTGGTAGATACATTTGCTAAAATGAGTATGCAATCCGCCTGAAAATGTTCTAAGTTATGGCAAACAGTCCCGTTAAGAGCATATAGAGGAAGTATACAGGCTACGGTTCAGAGTTGTATGAATAGCTCCACTCCACAAGGGTCGGACCACTTTGTGAGGATATCTCAAATTGCTTTTATTTGGATCTTAATTACACTCAACAGAAAATTGATTGGAGTGGACATGGTCTACATGCCCATTTGCCAGTTGTACAAATTTAAATAATCAATTTCCCCTTCAAAACATAAAATTGAGAAACTGCACACATTAGGTTGTAAGTCATGCTCGATGCATAAGATTCTCATTTATAACGAGGATCGAAAGAGATAAGGGATTATGCTGCCCACCCGTGCATACCTTTGCAGAATTATTACATTAATTCTTATAAATTATCTGTTCCGATTATTTCTGAAATTGAGGTTAACGTGTTAGGATGTAAAATGAATAATGGCTCAATTAAGCAAAGTTTCTTTTAGTGGTAGTATATGATTATTGAGTTTTTTTTTTTTAGCCTTTTAGGAAAGGGGGAAAGGCGACCAGTAGATAATAACCTCTCCAAAAAGTGACCATGTGAGTTATTCACTGTGGTATATTCGGTTTTAAACTCATAGCTGTTAACTCAGAAGGGCAGTCTGTCACCACCACAACACCAACAATACCAAATAATAAATTGTGTTATTCCTATGAATCGAACTCTAGTTGATAACTATTTGAAATTCAAGAATGATTCTAAACAGGTACAACTTACTACTAGATCACGAATGATATATGATTATTGGGTTTGTATATGAAAATAGCACCAAATAAATGAGCAACAGGTAGAAACAAGTTGCTGTAAATGGGCCAAGACGTGGAGGTCGGGGTGATCTCAAATGGGTCGAGGAACGTTTGACTATGTCAAACCCCGTATCTGGGCGGAGTGGGTGCGAATAAAGGAGAAGGACCGTGTAGGTTACGTGCTTTTCTTGGTCTAGCCTTGGCAGGTCCGGATTTATATGGGCTTTGATCCGGTTTTATATGGAGTGGATTGAATGTGGGCCTAAAGATAAATCAAGGTTCTCTTCCTTGTCCTTCTCTTCGGCCTTCTGTAACGGCTTTTCTAAATAAAAGTCAACCAATCTTTTTTTTTTTTTTTCTTTTGATTTAACGGTTTGATATGTCTAAATCATTTTATGTACCCCTCGATTAGTCTCTTTTCTAATTCGGTTAAAAACAAGTTATTTATGCTGGAACTAGATAATTAATAAAAGATAAATCTATTATGGCCCGCAAAAAATATTAAGATTCAAACTTAGGACGTATGAATTTACGATTCATTTTTATTATCACTTGAGGTACACTTGAATTACCAATCTTTCTTTCAAGAAGCTCATTGCACAAATGGACAGAGAGAATTAGAGAAGAATAAGAACAAAACTAATCAAAGAGAATTGTTCAAATAATGAAATAGATTAATTTTCTGAATCAAATTTGACAGCAGCTTAGTATCAAGACTCTTAAGAAATTACTGGCCTTAACTCTTCCACAAAAGAGTACCAATAGTACGTACATGACAAAACTGGGTCAAAAAGTGATGACAAAGTCGATTACACTGACAGCAGTCGCCAACGCCTATTCTCTCTCTTGCTAATTACTAGGATCCACCAAGTGCATATGGTTAAGTGCACCTCATATATGCGAATCTTTATTTTTTGAATCTTTTTCCTTAACTTAGGAAAAGAATCCTAGGTTGTCAAAAGTGAAGTTGGGGTCAAACTCCATTTGCCCAAATGGGAAATCTATACCAACAGTAGGAGAATTGGTTGCAGAGGTCACGGCTGAGACTCTCCCAGTGAGTTCAGGCTCGGAAGTGGACAAATTGGGGCTCCGTCCAACGCTGTTCATATGGGTTTGTGAACCCGAGAAATAGTTTGATCCAGGTGTTGCAGGTGACATGAATGAAGGAGAATAATTTCCCACTAAACTGTTATCAATCATAGCAGAAGAGAAAGCATAGTTTTCGGCCTTAGTGTTTGATGTTGAAGGGAAGAGGAAAGAAGAAAATGATTGATCAGGAGTGTTCAAGTTCTCAGTTACAACTTTGAGGCCTGTTTGGAAATTCAAGAGTATTTCTTGTTGGTTTTGTTGCGGTAGAGGGGCGAATTGCTCACTGTCTACGATTATTCTTGGTTCTCGATTATCGGGTGGTGATGGTGACGATGATGATTGTGGTGGAGTTAAATAGGAACCCTGCGTCGGAGTACAAGTGTGCCTTCCCCGGTAATTGATTTCGAAGATTGTTGGATCTTCATCAGATCTTTGCACTTGCTTGGTAGCCAAACATCCTTGTACATTTCGATGGGAGCATCTGTAATAGCCTCTGCAAATGCAAAGAATCAGTTGTAAATATGAAAATTTCAGTGGCATGAGTAAGAATAGATGTACTTGAACCTCAAATTCATGGAGAAATGTACTTTCATTGTAATAAAATTTAAATCAGGCATAAATCATAGGAAGAACCTTGGATATTTGGCTCCAAGAATGTCTTTCTGCCCATATTTTCTCCAGCTATGGCCATCATCAAGAGTTCCTTCAAGTCCTGATCCTGGACAAACTTGCACTTGTTTTGTCCACCGCGGTACACACTTTCTGCACGCGGTAATTCAAACACAACGTAAAATTTTATACATTTTATGTGAAACTCAAACCATCTACATCTTTTGTAATACACTGTTCCTTAATTTTTATTAATGATACATCATCTACCGTGCAGGTTTCACCTACATTCATAATGCAATAATCTACTTTTGGAAAAAAAAAATAAGGAAAAGTGTATTACAATATTGGGCAATAGTCGAATGAGTTTAAGTTGAACTTAAAAAACTCGTTTTCTTAACCAAAACTTAAAAAAATGTTCAAATTTGACTCATTTTTTAAATGAGTTGAGCCTGAACGAACTCAAAATAAGTCGAATCCGAGTTCGAGCTCTAATATTTATATATAAACGAATCGAATCGAGTTAGTCGGAGTCCAACTGAGCCGACTGTCGGGTAAAAATTGTTCAAGTTAACTAGTCAAACCCAAGCCGAATTTAAATAACTTGGTTCGATCTGTCCGATTAACATCCCTAATCACTATGAAACTCGAGTAATCTTAGTATGCATGTAATAAAGAAAGGCCATAACCCAAAGCAGCAAAGCTACAACTTATTACCTCTTCCTTGACCCATCTTTGTGCTCCTGATCCTTGGAATCCCGGTCGGAATCTTCGCTATGTGGACTTCCAATGAAGGAACGAGGGGACTCGGACGACACTGCAATCGCAGTTCCTATGGTGAGTTGTGGTTCTCCACTTGAAGCACCAACACATTTCAGCATTGAGAGAGCCTTGTCATATGAATTCAGGATCTTGTGAACCAACAATTCTCGGGCTTCATGCGAAGAATATGACACATTCAGATGGAATTGGAGCTGCTTTGCTAGCTCCCTCCCTTGTGTTAACTCATTTATCAGATTCATCTTCTCCCAGTCAGCTGAGTTCTCCATTTTTAAGCCACACCAAGCAAGTCTGCTGTATTAATTGTAACCAAGTGGTACTAATAAAACAGCAATGAAAAACCCAGATGGTAAAAATGCTAGGAGGAGATCATTTGATGTCCAAAATTGTTCATCTAGAAGGATATAAACGAGTAGGAAGCTGTAAAAGTGAAAAAAAGAAGCTGAAAGTCTCCAAGTAGCGAGTAGCAGAAGGAAACAAACTCAATCCTAGCTAAGAGACAAGTAGAGGCTAAACTGGTTATATAGTTCCAGATGAATTGGGGGTAAAGATCATTCAAAAAAAGCAGCAGATTTTGTACCTAAATGCAATCAGTTCTGCTGTCTTAGGGAGGAGAGAGAGAGAGAGAGAGGGTCTGGTTTTGAATAGAGAAAATTGAGGGAAAAAGAGAAATATAGAGAGGGGAAGGAGCAAGTTTGACCGAGAAAAGCGAGTGGGATTTTCTTCGCAAGGACCGGTCAACGGTCATTGGAGCTATAGTTGAAGTGAGAAAGTCCAATTGCTGACCATTTCTCCTTGAAAGGGTCCAGATTCCAGAACAACCCCGCTTGGCCTCTTTCTGTTTCTTTCTACCTTCGTATTACTGTTATATTACACGTATTTACCATTGATGATGGTGACTAATTAAGACAAATTAAGAATAGAAAAAAAAAAAAAAGAAAAGAAAGTCAGAGATGTAGCATTTGGAAGAAGACCAAGAATTTTCAAACCTTCTCGTCCGCGTTATTACTACTTGCATTTCCCAGTAGGAGACACAGAGAGAGAATAAAAGAGAAAACTGACACTATGAAATGAGAGAAAGAGAGGTAATTCCCAGGAAAGAGTGATGACATGATTGTGACGTTAGTCTCAGGCCCCTTGGCTTACGTTGATGTTGAAAAATCACTCATGCGAAGTGGGCACAAAGCGTATTTAGTGGTGCACAGGGAGAATACCAAAACATGATAGAAGAATTACACTTATACCTCTTTAGATTTACCATTTAATCAATCGGATCCTCTGAGGTATAAAAAATAACATTGTCATTTGTCACCCTATCAGTAACGGCCAACGGACCTAATGAGTTTAATTTATCAAAAAAAATTATTTGGGAATAAGTCCATTTTTAATCTTAGTAATAAGTAGTTAATTCCACTATTTTTTTAAATAATAATGTTATTGAGACCTAATTTATTATAATCTTTAGATTAATTGTGGACTCCATCAAACATTGGAGCCCACAGTTTTATATATTTTTTTTGACAATTTTACTGTTTATGTTATTATTTTTGTGAGCATGTTACTGTTTTTGTTAAGTATATTACTATGTTATTTTTTAAAATATTAATACTCAATGTTATTACTTTTTTATTTTTGAATATTACTATTTTTTTGTATTTAAATATTACTATTTTTTGTATTTAATGGTACTATTTTTTTGTTTGAATATTACTATTTTTTTTTTTGTATTTAAATGACACTATTTTTTATGTTTGAAAATTCCTTTTTTTTTTAACAATAAAAATCAAAATAAACTTAGTATTAAATAAATTTTCTTGATGAATTTATTACCAAATAAGTCCCCTCCAAATTTTCCTATAGTATTATTTTCTCTCTCAAAATCCTTCTGTTTGGCAAAACCACCGATGCCACCACCATTTGCCCACCCAATCTTTTCTTTCGTTGGTCGTCGGTGACCTCTGCATTCACAACGGAGACGACCCCACATCCCTTCTTTAGATCTCCAAAACCTAAAAGTCATATCTGCTCTTGGCTGAGGAGCAAAAGCCGTGGCGTTCTTGGTCCAAATGGAAGCAAAGAATTATAACCAATTAAAATAATTGCTTTAATTAATTCCTTTTGAGTGTGTAGAAAATCCAGGAAAACCACCCTCCTGTTTCTCAGAGCCATTACCAGAGTCGGTTATGTGATGGTGTGGGGGCGTTGGGCTGTTTGCAGGGCATGTGATGGTTGTGTTGGTGTTGCGCCTTTGATATTTGGGTTTAGAGACGATAGGTGGTGTAATCTTGCAGTGGGTGGGTGGATGGTGGCAATGGGCGGTGGGTAGTGGGTTAGGATATTTGGGTTGTAGCAATGGGCTGGGTGGGATCTTTTGAGTTGGTGGTGGTAGTGGCGATGGGTTGGTTTGGTTGTGGCAGTCGTCGGTGTTATGCTAAGCGTAAAGATGGTGAAGGTTTAAAGCAATATGTATTTAATTTGTTGGGGTTTCTAAATAAATTAAAAAATTATTAAATTTTTATTGTAGAGTCAAACATAGGTAGTTTGGGATTTTTTTCAAAAAAAAATGTTGATTCAGTCAAAGAGCTTAACAATTGGGGGTTACGGGACAAAACTTTAAGGAGGCGCACTGTTTTATTTTTTATACCTGAGGGGGTTTATGTGATCTAGTGACCAATTTTTGGGGTCTAGATATAATTCTCTCAAAGTTAAGTTCATGGGCTCTAGGAATATTGGATGGCCTTTCTTTTCTTATCTTTCTTGGTGATTAATGATTGATTATGCAGGGATACCATTAGTGTGTAAATCCAAATCCAATAAAGTTGGTTGGGGAAGAAAAAAAAGCTGATTTTTCTTCTTCTTTTTTTTAATTTAATATTTTTAAATATGCTGTGGGTACTTGCCAAAACAAGGCATAGTGAAGCATGGAGAGATGGAATTGAAAACTACACGTTGGGTTAATGTATATGAAAAAGCAACTTGCTAGATTCAATGACTATAAAAGTTTCATGTGAGGTTCCGTAATACATGCACAAACACGAAAGTGGGTACAGTTGATATTGTTAAAAAAACATGTGAAAAGTGAGAACGCAACCTTCTTCCATTTTTATTTAGTTTATCAAAAAATATATTTGGACAATCTAACATTACTCTTTGAATTCACATTTACTCATCAGTCTTCCCTAAATTGTGTCAATTAAATCTTAACCAATGGAGTTGTGTCATTCGTGTTTAGTTGAAGTGTTGTTTGATTTCATTAGTTAAGTTAAAATAGTCATGCTTATCCATATCTACCCATGTTGGTCAAACCAAAGCTGGATCCAAGATTTGAGTACTACCATTTTTATTTTTAAATATTGTTTGGTTTATATATTATTTTTTGTTTGTTTGTCTAGTGTTATTGCTCCCTCCTAACTTATCGAATTAATATATATTTATAACACATAGATCACTTTTATAAAATAATAATTAAACAAGTGTCAATAAGGGAACAAATTCGACTTAGCTGGCTAGTAAATCAACGGGATAAGATCGACTGAAGAATTTTTTGATAAAGAGAAATGAAAGATTTATTGAATTATTAAGGGATTTTCTGGATAGCATTTTTGTAAAAATTTAAATTTAAATTTAAATTGCATTGTTGGAAGATCAAAAACTAGAATTAAAAAATAAAAAATATAAATTGAGGCTTATTTATAGGGCTGCCACTCGAACCGGACCTTAAATGAGTTGACCTATTGGGCGTAACTGTCTACAAAACAAGGACCACGGCCATATTCATCTGACCGACGGATCGTTACCGTATGGCCCGATCTATGATCCTGTAACATATCGGGCTAACAGGCCTATCTCTGGACACGTGCCATTTGAAAGTTGAAACATGTTTAACGACCCGTGCTATGCCACTACGTATAGGTCGCCCCAACTACCCCAGACTTCTTCCACCATCTTGTGAGGGCCAATCATGTGTTACAAACATGATCAATGAAAAACAACGTTGTCCTTTCCGTGTTTTTTATGTATTTTTTAGACTAAATTCGCGGAGTTGGATGGTCTGGGCCAAGATACCGTTCCATAAAGATTGTCCTATATAATGATCATTCAGATTTGATTTATGAGAAATAATCATTTCATTTAGAGCAATGCTACATGAATTTAAAAAATAAATTTAAAAATTAGACTTGATAATTTCAACTATTGATTTCACTGTATGTTCCAGAATTTATTAGGACTTACTACCTATTCAATGGTTGAAATTATTAAGTCTAATTTTTAAATTTATCTAACATTACTCTTTCATTTATTTACTGGTCATCAATTTAAATTGTAGCTTTCAAAAGAACTAAAATAACAAATTGAGGAACAAAAGATACATCTAGATAGGGATAGGGAGAATTTTATGGTACCCAAAAAAAAAATTTGGTATTGATATCAGTGGGTACTATATTTTATGGTAAAACTATAATTATATCATAGAAAAATTATAATTATTCAAGTGAAGATCATGATTGATCACGCACACCCATAATTGTTGATAAAAAATGCAGTGTCAATCATAACATTTTATAATCGATCATATCTTTTAAAAGTTGTAATTTTCAATACCGATACCACTAACAGTACTGTAGAAATTCTCGATAGTCAAATAGCATACGTTTCAACACATTAATTAATTTTTTATCTACTTTTCCTCCCAATTTTAAAAGAAATGATTTTGGTGAGTTGCAAAGAAACATAATTCATTTATTTTTTCATCACTCCTATTTTTATTCCTTATCAAATATGATATTTTATCTATTCATCTAATTTTTTATCATTCTATTTTTTTCTATTGTACCAAACAAAAAATATGATGTTTTCTAAATACTTTTCCAAAGCAACTAAAAATTTAGGGTGGCTTCAAAGACCCAATACTTGCAACAAAAACACATTTCTCTTTCCAAAAGAAAGTTAAAAAAAAAAAAAAATCAATCCCACATTCACGGGCTATTGCGAGGGACTGGAGATCAGGAATTATTTTTCAGCTCTCGCGCACCTGCAGTCCAATGGATAAGTCGAAGTAACCATCAGAGCAATCAAGCTAGCACTGAAAACCAGGTTGAAAGCTTCCAAGTCACAATGGGTGGATCACCTCCCAGCGGTACTATGGGCGTACCAAACAACAGTGAGGACAGCGACTAGCGAGACACCTTTCAACCTAGCGTACGGGACAGAAGCAATGGCGTCAGTCGAAGTCGACGTGCCTTCGGCGAGGACCGAATTCTTTGACTCC